TCCACTGACCTCAGCCTCCCAAAGGCACAGGATTACAGGCTGAGCCACTGAGCCCGGCTTGAAAATGTTATTTTAAAAATAACATTGTTTGGGTATTGTGGAGACATTTTATACAATTTTGATACGAAATTCTTTCCATTTTCATTTAGGATTTGACGAAGCGTTCAAGTCAAACACAAAATAAAGCCAGCAGGAAGAGGCAGCATGAGGAGCCAGAGAGCTTCTTTACCTGGTTCACTGACCATTCTGACGCAGGTGCTGATGAGTTAGGAGAGGTCATCAAAGATGACATTTGGCCCAATCCATTGCAGTACTACTTGGTGAGTAGCAATGCTTTCCATTCAAGGTTATGCGTGTTTTGTTTGTTTAAAGATCGAGTCTAAGGGATCTTGGTTTTTTTTAAGGTTCCTGATATGGATGATGAAGAAGGAGAAGGTGAGGAAGATGATGACGATGATGAAGAAGAAGAAGGATTGGAAGATATTGACGAAGAAGGGGATGAGGATGAAGGTGAAGAAGATGAAGATGATGATGAAGGGGAGGAAGGAGAGGTAAAAACCGACTAGACTCAAGAAGATAGCCTTTAAAGAGTCACCATGTTAATTTGGGGGGTATTCGTATATATGGAGGAAGTGGCACTGACCCAGAAGTTGTTACAGGAGTATTTATGGAAAAGCCAAGCCATCTTGTCCAAGAATAAAGGAACTGTTAAGCTTGTACCAATAGTCTCATTTGTTCTGTTTTTCTGGCTAGTTTTTATGACCATGCAAGCTTGTCCTTTCTCTAGCCAGTACTTAATGAAGAAAACGATATAGGCAGTCCAGCTCACCAGATTTTGGGATCTTTCTGAAGTAACAAAGCTGTTGATGTTTGGGACAAACTATAACATTCTTAAATAGTCACTTTGGGATAGGTGAGTTTTGTTTTGAATTATTTGGTCTGAAATGTGCCTGGTGATTTGATCACTACTGTGAAGTTCCCAGTTTATCTGAAACAACAGCATTGTGTCTGCTAGTTGAATCGATGCAAGTCACATACAGGTTTAGAACACTTAACTGCCCCTGGAGTGTTCTGTCATCGTGTTCTGTGAGGACCATTGTGGTCCATGTGAGAGCTAGGGTGTGAGCTTAGAATCAACCATGAAGATTAACTGCCCACTTTTTCTTTCAGGAGGATGAAGGAGAAGATGACTAATAGAACACTGATGGATTCCAACCTTCCTTTTTTAAAATTTTCTCCAGTCCCTGGGAGCAAGTTGCAGTCTTTTTTTTTTTTTTTTTCCCCTCTTGTGCTCAGTCGCCCTGTTCTAGAGGTCTCTTTTCTCTTCACCATGGTTCTCAACTTATTTTGGGGGAAATACCTTGAGCAGAATACAATGGGAAAAGAGTCTCTACCCCTTTCTGTTCCAGATTCATTTTTGCCCCTTCTTGTCTCAACAAAAACTGTATGGAATCAACACCACCGAGCTCTGTGGGGAAAAAGAAAAACCTGCTCCCTTCGCTCTGCTGGAAGCTGGAGGGTGCTGGGCCCCTGTGTAGTAGTGCATAGAATTCTAGCTTT